TAAACAAAGCATAGTAGTTAAGAACGTTTTAAAGGTTGTGCAATAGTTATATGGAAAAACATGTAAAATTAAAAGAAATATAACAACGATTAAAAAATTAACGGAATGTTCATAACGTTTATTCTGTACATTATATATTTACAGTTGTTATCAGTTGATTTGGCAGTCGCCAAATAAAACAATTTTGACACCCGTTTATATAATTAGCGGGTCACAGAGAGCAGACTACTAAGTAAACATCAGCTATTTACGAAATGAAAACTTCTTGCAGTAACTTAATCGGGGTATTGCCCCTTAAATAGTGTTTTCGAAGCACAATTTGTATGTGCACATCAACAAAACTTTGACGACCTTTTTGTATTTGCACACTAACAAACCTTTACAACCTTCCATAAAATGACCAAAAGAAGCATTCAATTCTTTAATATAATTACATTTCTATGCTACAACTGTAAAATTACGAGTTATATGAAGCTTTCCGTTTGTTTTCCCATGCATTGTTGTGACGTCGTCACGGGAAGCACGTACAGTCATAAATGTTGCGTTTTATCAATGAGAAATAAGATATAATTTTACACCAAATATATCGCGATTGTTGCCAGTCAATAAAAAATGAGACATACATAAATGTAATTATGCGGTCATGAAAATATTTATAATGTAAAATGAAAATATAGGCCTACTTGATTCCTTGACCTCCACAATCCATACCCTAGAGGCAAAGCACCTCTTAGTCCAGGTGCACCGACTGAAAAGGTGCAACAATCACAGAAAAAATATTAAAAAAACTTATAAGCACAAAAATAAGAATTAAAGTAATGAAGAACTAGAATTTAAAAGCAGCTGTATAGAATAACGGAAAAAAAAAACAAAAAAAACACAAAATACCAGTCAAAGGCAGAATATTTCTATTGGGTAGAACTCATACGCCACTGGATAGAAACGATGCTAGCTGCAATTTCATTTTTGCCCCCACACCAGGAATTTATATAATTCCTAAATAGGTCATAATTCTTGCATCACTCGGGGACAATTCCATAATTAGATAGATAAGATAAAATAAGATATATTTTATTACCAATTAAGGGCCCTCAAGGGGCATATAGAGAATACAAGTATAAGGAAAAAGAATATTGATTATCATAGATACATAGAATTTAAATACACAATTACAATACAATTAGACTGTAAAAAAAGCCCTGGGTTTAAAGTATATAATATATTTATATGAGAAATAAATACATCAACTCATATTGACTTGAATAAATTTTCCAACAGCATTAAGTACCTGACTGTCTTCACAGCTCAATAAATATATGAATTTTTGCTGATTGTCCCGTAAAGTAAAGTTTGGCATTATATGGCAAAAAAGTCAAAGAGAGCATCTCTATCTGAGTTACATTTTTCACATGAAGTTAAAAAATGGATTTCATCTTCAATACAGCCAGAGGAGCATTTTTTGCAAATTCTCATTTCGTGGAATATTTGAAAAACGGTCAAATTCTAGTTGAAGCTTATGAGCAGATATACGTAATTTACAAATAGCTCTTCTAAAATCAAAGTTCTTAATCTAAGAGAGATAATTATGCTGCCTCAAATCTAAAAGATCTTTTATCATACGTTGAGGTTTATGGTTTGGTTACCTCTGCAGTGATCACATTTGTCGTACCCCTTTATAGCTTACTTACGGCTGGGTTTATGCTTTTTTGGAGCCTCATTTGGTCACTGATGGATATATGTATTATTGGCAATTATTCATCCATTGTCGGTCATTGCCTTCAAGCACTGGTTTCTTATATCTTATCAAAAGGGTATTATTGCATCACCTTTCGTTGTGTATATAGGCTTACCCGCAACGATATAGTTGTTACATCTTAAGTAAAATTAATCCGTTTTTACAAATAAGCAATTATAAATGCTCGGGAAAGCCAACAACACCAAAAACACTTTCGCCAGCACAGAGACATAATACATACACATATCTCTGGTCAGCACGACCGAATACAGTTTTTATGTTTATTATATACCTAGTGATAAATGAAAGTAAATTGTTTGTTAAATATATGCCAATCGTGCTGTATCAGCCATCCGGGATGATATAGATATATATATCAGTCGCAATTGCTAAGGTTTTATCAAAACCGTATGACGTAACGAGTCACGACTGCAAATTGTAGTGCGTCGTAGACCAGTACAATAATACGAGCAGCTTCAATTTGAACGCTTTCCAATAATTTGGTTCTTGTAAAGTACATCCCATATAATAATGTTTATCAGTTTACTGATAATACAGGTTTAATAAAAGATTAAATTCCATATTTATTCTCGAGTCCCTCCTTTTTCTTTCCGTATTCTGAACCTTGACCCTGTCTGTGACGTTTTCACTGTATGACGTCACTATCATACGTCACTTTTAGAATTTTCAAATGTTCGATATGAAGCTTGCTCAAACCCACCCACCTACCCCTACATTTGCCTTTTTTGGATTATTTTTCTGCTGTTGTTTTTCAGTTGGAAAGCAGGTCACGGTTTGACCCCAAGTCTATCAGCAACAATAGAGTCACGTTTTTTATAAATGGTTTTCTCTTGTTTACCAGAGCGGCCGGTTTATTACTGGTACCAGTTTTGAATTATTTTATCCTCCGAATACCGGGGAAGCGTTATTCAGGTTATGGCATAGCATCAGTGTGGGGTAGTGCTCCTTGTTCACTCTATTTCCATTAGAGGAACTTCTGTTACAAGAAGAGGACCTACTTGCCAATATTACAAATGCCAGCGGTTAGCCAGACCTCGTTTACTGTTTTTTTCACTGCAGCCGATTTTATTCCGCATAGTATTTCTTCAATTATTTAAATCTTTGATCAGAAATTAGGAGATGTGGTTTGATTGCCTATGAGACAACTCACTGTACAAACAGCGTGGGTGTAAGCAACCATAGGTGTCCGTACAACCTTCAACAATGAGGAAAACCCATACCACATGCGGCCGATTTTATTCCACACAGTATTTCTTGAATTATTTAAATCTTGAATTAATGTCAGTATATTCAAGAATAGGACAAATCAATGCCAAATAAATTGTAATAAGTACATTTCGATCCAAACTATATTTGTCTTAAGTGCCAGTCTTTGTAAGAATCAGGCCATTTTGAAAATAATTCAAAACATGGCCGAAAAAAACCCACTGACCTAACCCCCTTATTTTGAAGGTACCCTCATCCTGAGTTAGAAATGGTAGGTCTTTTGTTTCTGCGTGAATGGTAATTTGAGAAATATCTAGATAAGTTTTGGTTAGAATGATCATTATACATTCTGAACTTAAATTAATGTGAAGCTGAGTGGGTTTTTGTTTGTCATGTTTTCACCACTGCCTGATTCTTAGGCATATTGGCACTTAATAAATGTTATCTAGAACATGTTCTTTTTATGAATTGCACTTCCATGTAACTCAGTTTCCAACTAGCATTACTCTCAAAGTTGAAACCTATGTGACAGTGACATTTAACTTCTTTCATTTGATCTCCATCAGTACCAAAATATACACAAAGGAGGGTGTGTGTTTCTTCGAGAAAATAAAAGAGTTTCAGTTTTGGAGGGATTAAAGGTTACAGCCCAGTTTTCAGACCATGTTTTTATCCTCCCAAGATCATCAGTCAATGAACTAGAAACAGTATTATAATCATCATCAATAATGGCATATGAAGAGGTGCCAACTGCGAATAATCTAATGTGATTACTCATATTTTCCACAATGTCGTTTATGTTAGCTAAAAAAAGGAAGGACACCAGTACGTTGCATTGGGTGTACCCCTGCACTGATAACTTTTTGAGATGAACAAAACCCATCCAAAACAACTTTCTGGCATCTGTCACCTAGGTAATATCTGTCAATTAAATTACTATGAATACCAAAAACATTCAATTTATAAAATAAACCATCATTCAAAACTTTGTCAAAAGCTTTAGAATATCACAAAAAATAAAGTGTATATCTTTTCCTTTATCAACATTGCAAATAATAACATTGTATATTTCTGCTAGTTGAAGTTTATGGATTCAATCATATAATTGTGTTTATACACATTGTAATACAATACTGACAATTTTTGATGCATTCTGCAGTTTCTGTTATCTGCTCTAGTTTTTGAATAATTATAGGCAAAGTGTAAAAATTTATCAAACTTGACAATTTTTGTAGACCTTGTATATTGCTGATCATGTTTGTAAAGATATATATATATATATATATTTATATACAAAAGTTTTGTAAATAGTTAATTCATAATATTACCACATCAATGATAATTCATGTTGACAAAGAAGTGCTGACTACATGGCTGGTGATACACTGGGGGTGGGGGGAACCTCCGCGAGCAGTGGTATCGACCCAGTGGTTGTAAAAATAAACTCACCACGAAGAAGAAAAAAGACAACAGGCTTATAATTTTGTACGCCAGATGCGCGTCCCGTCTACAAAAGACTCATCATTGACGCTCTAATAAAAAAGATTTAAAAGGCTTAATAAAGTACGAAGTTCAAGATCATTGAGGACCACAAATTACGAAAGGTTTTGCCAACTACAGCTTAAAGAGAGGCGACATATACCAAAGGGACATTCAAACTCATAAGTCGAAAAAAACTGACAACGTCATGGCAAAAAAACAAAATAGACAAACAACAGTATACGAAACACAACATAGAAAACGTAAGACGGAGCAATACGAACCACATAAAAAACCGGGGGTATCTCAGGTTATTTTTTACGCCAGACTGGCAAAGTAATTGGAATTGCTTACACGACCAATTGTTTGAAAATATTTTGTTTTCCTTTAGAAGTTTAGCATTTTTACCTTGTTTCTAAAGGTCAATGATTATGTTTTAAAAATGCTATAGAAATGTCTCTAGATTTCAGGGTCAGCACAAAATGTTGTGGTAAAAGAAGTAAAGGGTCAGCACAAAATGTTGTGGTAAAAGAAATAAACTAAAATAAATAAACACAAATATACTTTTATCCTTTAATTAATTGCTAAAATTAATGTTGATAAACTTCATACTTATTCTCACTTACCTAAAATGTCCTCTCAATTTCTGATGAAAATTTGTCAAAATACCTTGCATTTTTCATTCTGGCACACACATTTTATAAAATTAATGACGAAAACTTATATAACATTTAGATTTATCATTATTTGGGTGGCACTAATCTTCATGTATTTCGTGTGAATGGATAAACTACGAATTGAAAGTGCTCAACAATTACAAATTCAATATGATTTTTTTGCATAATTTGTCAAAGCCACGAAATCAAATATTCCGTAAAATAATTCCAAAAGTTGTTGCAATACAGTAACATACGAACGGATTTTAAGTATAAATTGGTATATTTCTCCGGCATATTTACCTGAATTAACTTTTGATTCAAAGAAACATTTCCAGTAGTAGTAGTAATGTAATTAATAATCAGATATAGATTACAAACGTTTTCTTGCATAAAAGTTGACTTATAGCATCGTTAACAGAATCATGTTTTTTGTTCCGAGATCAATGAAAAAGCTCTAAGTTTTTAACGACGATACATATGATTATTCGGAAAATACATGACATCATCCTTAAAGTTAACCAGGATGTAAACATGAAATTCATAAAAGTAAATACGAAAATTATTAGAAAGTAAAATAACAAAAATACCGAACTCCAAGGAAAATTCAAAACGGAAAGTTCTTTATCAAATGGCAAAATCAAAATTTCAAACGTATCAAACGAATGGAAAACAACTGTCATATTCCTGACTTGATACAGGAATTCTTATATAGGAAATGGTGTATTAAACCAGGTTTTATAACTAGCTAAACCTCTTACTTGTATGACAGTCGTATAGAATTCCATTATATTGACAACAATGTGTGAGCAAAACAAACAGACATAATACGTAAAAATGTCAAAATTGGGGTACAGCAGTCAACATTGTGTTATAAACGTAATCACTATAAAACAAATAACTATTTCAACAAAGAAGAACAAAATGGCAATTAGACACTCTATAGACAAAGTTAACATAAGCAAAAATGAAAGACAAGAATTCAAAAATGACCATAGTACAATAACATAATGGCAGAATGTATAAATCCACATAAATATACAATTAAAAGTATCTATTAAATACTAAGGAGATAATGCTTATGACCAATTACTTTATCATATAGTTGCAGATCGAATGTATTTGCCATTTTTACACATGGCCAGAGTTTTTTTCTAACACTTCACTAATTAGTGGTTACCATTGGTTATAATAAAACGCAGTTATCTGTCCAGAAGGTATCCGAATTATCCAGCAACAAAGGAAGAAGTTCTGAAAGAAGAATCAGCTGCGACATACCCTATGTGTTTTTGAACAGCATTGATTTCTTTATATTATGTAATTCTTCCCTACTTTATTACCTATAGTCTCTACAGTGTTGTAGTGTTGTAGTAATGGTTTTGATAAACGCTTTACATTTATCGCCATCTTCTTCTTTAAAAAATATAACTGGCTTAAGGTGTCCAATTTCTCTCAATTCTTTTCTTATTTTACTCTCTCCAAACAGCACAGGGATAACGCAATCCCCGTCTTCATAATGACGGACTAATTGAGTATGCATTCTAAATCTGCTCAAACAATCGTCATAAAAATATGGAGTGATGAAAAGCAACAACGAACGGCTTACGTCCATCAACTCATTGAACGCTGCAAATAAATTTGCTCCAGCAGGTATATCATCCTCTGTAGAAGCAATCTTTACGTCAGGCAGATCCACTCTTTCTAAAATTATTCTCTTCATTTCATCTATATGCCCTTCGTCATATTGTGAGTGCAGTATCAGAACATCGTATTTATATACACCTGAAAAGAATTCTTACAATATTAATTCTTATTGTTTTTTGCTGTTTGAAATAATGTTTTGAAATTGCATTATAATGGATTGCTTTCATATATTCAAATAGTTTATTTTCCTACTTCTCTTTCTTTTTGCTTTGAGAAAGAAAACAGTTCTTTGAGCAAAAGATGGCAAATAATTTAAATGTTTCATAAAATTTTCCCTACTGTACTTACCCTGTCAATACAACGTCGTCTGCATGACAACATAAACTTATTGTTGATGTCACCTTACGGTAGGTTCTCATCAGGGTTAAGGGGTCAAATAGAATCGTGTGATTGAATCTGTAAGGCGTAAATCTAATTTAACCAAAGATAAGTTGTTATTAAACATTGATATTTCCCCCCAAACAAATCCAATTCCATTATACAGAAGCAATGCATCCATTTGCAAAATGCAAAATATTGTCAATGGATAGGAGAATCGATAGATTGTATGAGATGAGCCGACTACGATGACGTCAGCAGTAGAAATATCTCCCGAGGACAACTTACCATAACATCCCCCAAACAAATGACTACTTTTAGTTTTTATAAGATTATCATATGACTTTACACAGGCTAGATAAGAATAATCTCGGTCAGTAGTCTAATAGCAATCACCTTGTTTGTCTTCAGATCTTGTAGTACCAGTAAGATTATCAGACTGTTTTCCAATTCCAATGGATTCCTCATCGCTTCCAATAGCACCTTGAAGTAAGATACAACAAGAGAACATTAACATTTTATTATAAAAATATGTAGTAAATACATTCAAAGTCACGATACTGTTTTAATCATATGAAAGATATTTATTGTCAACACGTGCTCTGAAAACTACAGTTGGTCTGCATTTTAACACTGCCGTCTTGCAATTTTACGGAATTATTGTTATGGTAATTCATGACCTATAAGCAAAGTTACAGTGAGGCCATCAATTTGAAATGAAAGCTCATAATTAACTGCAAGTTACTGGCGGTCCCTTGCACCCGTTTGACGAAATACTTTGCTAGATGTCAATAACGCTTCACCTATGCATTGAAGATTTTCCCAGATGCAGGGTTATAAACAAAAAGAACCTGCCATAACTGATATTAATTTAAAAAAAAGGAATTTCTGATACAATATTTGAAACTCGTTTTGTGCTTGTATGAGAGGAATTGCAATTTCTTTTTAACTTACAATGCATCTTCCTCAAATACTATATTTAGTTGTAGTCTTCCAATTTCATTGATATAACTATTTTTTATCACATTTTCAAAATTCTATTTCACTTCCTTTCATTTATAATCATCATTTGTTTTTCTAATAAAGGTTGTAACTAAGTTTTAACATTGATAGAATGAAAAAATACATTTGAATTTGAATGCACAATTTGCTATGACATCCATCAATGTATTCTAAATTTATAAATAAATGAAAGTAAAAACTTTTGAAAAAGAACAATTCTCGTTTACATATACAAAATCCTACTTTAATATAAAAACCTTTTTTTAATGAATCCATGAAATGAATAAAAAAAATTTACTTTTTGTTTCTATCAAAATTGATATATAACAAATCAAGTCACAACTTCAGCAACATAATGTCGTCGGAGATAACAAAAAAAAAAGCATTTCATATAGCATTGTCACAGTTGACTGGACACACATAAAGTATAAGAGCAGAAACTGTTAAAGATAAAAAAAATATATATATTTGCTATAATTCAACCTAAATACAAACAATGTTAAAATATGATCTCGATTACATAGTTGCATGGATGGATATAATTTGAAACTTATTAAGTTTGTGGCTGTTCAATCAACATTGTGTTTAAATTGGCCTAGCCCCTTCCAATTACAATCTTTGTAAAAACTATGTTCTGAGGATACGTTTATAATGTAAATTGGACAGGGTCATCAATAATCTGAGCAACATTCTTATCGACCATTATTTGATATGATTTTTTATATGATAAACACCGGTCACATTCATTAGAGGGCGATCAATAAATATTCTATAAAAAAATAGATCTTATTATTTTATTGCTCACTGTGGTTATTTGGTTTAAGGCATACAAAGAGAATACTTCACACATAATTTCAGTAGTGTAGATCAAATAATGAAATCCGTTAAAGAGAATATTTCTTCCCTCGACCTTTACAGGTCATTTAAAGGTATCTAGGAGTAATACCACTATTGTTTTTCCCTATTAGTCTTTGTTAAATTGGCACTTTTCAAAAAATTGTGCAGAAATTTATCCTTGTTTCAAATAAAGAAATACTTGGCATGAGTAAAGTTATATCCTTTCCAGTACTACAGACAAAATTTCACATAACATTTCATTGCATATAAGATAATAACCATCATTGGACGTTAACCAATCAAATTTTCACCCCTTTTTTCCTGTTTATAAGCTTTAGTAACCATGTAACCTCAAGTTAACAAATTTTTTTATAGAATCACCAAATATAAAAAGAATGGTGCTTTGAAAGAAACACCAAGTATATATGTTTATGACTCAGAATTTTTTTACTGCAATGAAATGAAGAATTAAATTCCTACAACTGTCAAAATCAAGGGAATTTTTTTTTGGACCTTTTCATACGAAACTGGATGTGACGTACTATGATTTATTGGTATTACACCTTTAAGCACCATATATATTATACAAATGAGTTTTATTTGTTTGTTCTTTTTATGTTGTATTACGGAGATCTGTGTGTGAATGTGTTGATTATCATTCATTACAACATGGTCATAATCAGTGTTTGGATTTATTCCTTTTTAGCTCACCTGGTCCAAAAGGGCCAAGTGAACTTTTCTCATCACTTGGCATCCGGCGTCCGTCGTCGTCCGTTAACTTTTACAAAAATCTTCTCCTCTGAAACTACTGGGCCAGATAAAACCAACCTTGGCCTAAATCATCCTTAGGGTATATAGTTTAGAAAAATGTATCTGATGACCCCACCCATTTACCAAGATGGCCGACATGGCTAAAAATAGAACATGGGGGGTAAAATGCAGTTTTTTGGCTTAAATCCCTGAAACTAAAGCATTTAGAGCAAATCTGACATGGGGGTAAAAATGTTCATGAGGTCAAGATCCATCTGCCTGGAAATTTTAAGACGCATCAGACAACCCGTTGTTGGCTATTTGGTTATTATCTTAAATATGCTAATAGATAGAGATAAACTGTAAACAGCAAAATTCCTCAGCAAAGTCAGATCTACAAATAAGTCAACGTAACCAAAATTGTCAATTGACCCCATAAAGAGTTATTGCCCTTTAAAGTCAGTTTTTACCAATTTTTCGTAAATTTTTGTAATCTTTTACAAAAATCTTCTCCTCTGCAACTACTGGGGCAAATTAAACCAAACTTTGCCTAAATCGACCTTAGGGTATTTAGTTAAAAAATAAAGTATCCGATGACCTAGCCCATCAACCAAGATGGCTACCATGGCTAAAAATAGAACATGGGGTGAAATGCAGTTTTTTGCTTATATCTCTGAAACTAAAGCATTTAGAGCAAATCTAAGGAAATAAAAATGTTCATCAGGTCAAGATCTGTCTGCCCTGAAATTTTCAGACGCATCAGACAACCCGTTGTTGGGTTGCTGCCCCTGAATTGGTAATTTTAAGGAAGTTTTGCAGTTTTTGGTTATTATCTTAAATATTAAAATAGATAGAGATAAACTGTAAACAGCAAAATTCCTCAGCAAAGTAAGATCTACTAATAAGTCAAATGACCAAAATTGTCAATTGACCCCATAAGAAGTTATTGCCATTTAAAATCAATTTTTTCACAATTTTTCGTAAATTTTTGTAATCTTTTCAAAAATCTTCTCCTCTGAAACTACTGGGCCAAATTAAACCAAACTTGGCCTAAATCATCCTTAGATCTTGTTTAAAGAATGTATCCGATGACCCCGCCCATTAACCAACATGGCCGACATGGCTAAAATAGAACATAGGGGTAAAATGCAAGTTTTGTCTATTATTTTGTAAACCATTATAAATAGAAAAAATCTGAAAGGAGCAAAAATGTTCAGAATGATGAGCTCTACCAATTGTCCGTATAGATCAAAACTGTCAGACAAATTCTTATAGGATTTATTGCCCATAAATGACAAATTTTACCTTTTTTTTCATCTTTGCCTATTATTATGAAAATTATGATATTTAGAGAGAAACATCTTTTTTTTCCGTTATGCCTTATATGATTTAAATTATAAAAGATAAATAGACACTTTAAATCACAAAAATGATCAGCAAGACAACATCTATTAAAAAGTCAAATTTTGCCGATATAGTTAGTAGACTGTCACTCTTCATAGGAGTGATTGCTCCTAAATAAGGATTTTTTTTACCCTCTTTTGTGTTTTGAGCAAAAACTAAAGAAGATAGAGAAATATTAAACAGACTAAAAGATCAGTAATACAAGATCAACAAAATAGAGATTTTTGGCATAAAGTCTATTCTCGTCTACAATGTTGGAGAGAGTCCTTTGTTAGATATGCACATAGACCAAGGTGAGCGACACAGGCTCTTTAGAGCCTCTAGTTTATTTTACCTTGACCCAAAGTTTCGTTGTCTGTTATATACGGTTCTGCGTCAACATCTAAGTCTGTAACTATAGTTTGGTCTGAAAGAAACACACAAAACGTTTTTTGTTTAATTATGCACGCGACATGGATTCAACTGGGTAATGAAAGTGTTCTTTATGACTTATATTAAGTTAGTATCATAAAAAGATCAGCATGTTTCCTAGTATTTTATAATTGACCTCTTTTTTCACATGACTCTGTGAATTGTTTTCGTTTTCTGGCAAAGTATTCTTAAGTGAAATCCTAGTTTCCTAACTTATGTCTCGAGTTTAAGATTATTTATTCAACAGAATAAACTTTATTATATATCAAATTTTTGTGATTGAGCTTGATGCTTACACAATTGTGTAAAAATAACTCATTTAAGATATTAGGCTTATAACTTTGCACGCCAGACGCGCGTTTTGTTGCTTTTTAAATACTTTTATAAAAATTTCTGTCACAAATATCTATAAGGAATTTTTGGCTCCTTAAATTCAGATATTATTGTATCTTTTTTTTCGAATAACGACCGATAGATCAGCATTAACAACTTAGAACTTTGTCTGAAATATTTGCTATAGGCCATAAATCATATCACATTTAATGAAAACCTGCAAAAACTTCCAAAAAAATAACTTAAGTTACATTCATTATTCCTACCCCAAAAAAGGCAAATCAAAGACATTGATCATGACTTACCAAGACTTTCATTGATTGCTTCTTTAGGAAATGTTTCATCTATTTGGTCTTGTTGTCTTGATCCTTTAATTTTCTGGGTTTTCGTTGTACATTGCGAATCTATTTTTTCTGTGAGTTCATCCAACGTTTTTCCAAACTTTTCAAACCCAGCTTGAACGTTTGCTGCGAGCTCTTTCATATCCTGTATGAATTAAATGACACAGTCTTCTAAATATAAATATCCTCAGATTTAATGCACGATCAATGACACTGATTACTAGTATATGGTACATTTAAATTGTAGCTGCATAAAATATAAAGGGAAAACAGAAATAACTAGAATTGACAGCACAACAGACCACGCGAACCACTAACACACTACTCCTCCGACAAAAACCAAGTACAAACAAAGCCAAACAAAACATGGTCCAGACAACATGACTTAGTAGTTACAAAATTTGGTGGGGTTAAACCAGTTGTTCGTGCGTAAAAGTCTACAATTGGTCTTTCTAGAACATAAGTCGTTAGTGCATTAAACATTCTGTGTGCTAGAAAAAAATCATAAAAACTATAAATTTGGAAAAATTCCTTTTAAAAATAATGTATAATTTGTTGATGCATCCCACATTCCGATGAAAAGATCCAAAACTATGGATGTTGACAATAATCTCATATCTACCTTTTTAGAGTTCAAACTAGACCGATAAGTTTCTTATATTTTCTTTGATATTTGCTTCTGAATCAACAAACTGCTTGATTTTCAATGATCTATTGTACATCAGTCGGTATAATCTGTAACCAATTTTTAACACAATCAAGATCGACAATGAATAGATATATTATGTTCAGAGGGTATTTGTGGAAAATACCAGTAAAGAGAAATTAAAGTTTCCTGAACTGCAATTCGTGGCGAAGGAAATGTCTTCTCAAGGCTGTCCGTTTAATCATTTGAGTTTTTTATTCCATTATTATTTTTCTTCAATACAAATCAGTGTAAACAGACCATATTAATGTGCATTTATCCCGACAGTTGTAAAATATGAACAATAATCATATCATAAAACAAAATGCATTTAGAAAAAAGACTATAGCTATCAACCAATCAAAGTCCATAACACTTACTTAGTATATAAAGCGTAATTTTTGTCAATATTCTGTATCAAAAAGATTGTATAAGCAATGTAGAGATAAAATTAATAAGTCAATTTAATTCAACAAAAATACCTGCTTCATTTCGTTTTGTTCAAGTAGTTTTTGCAATATATTTCTCTGCGATTCCTCAGTTAATGGTCTGTGCTTCAAGTCTTTCAGCCTTTTGGAAAATTCTTGAATAGCTTCGTCTCTCTTCTTTTGGTCAGATATTCCATGCTTTAACAATTCCGGAACCTTTTCCTCAATAATGCTCCAATTGTTCTTGAATTCCTCATTTGACATCTTACTATTACAAGCATGACCACGAACTTTATTTCGGAGTTCCACCAATGCCTCTATGCTTTGTTTCAACGGACAACAGCTTCGGAGAATCATATAAGTCAACCAATCATCTAGTGACTCCTTAATTAAGTTGTTCGCCGAAAAAAGACAAATGCAATGACCAAGAGAGCCTATGTTTATACAAGAAACTGATCCTTGCTTATCAAATAAATTCTCAAATTGCTGTCTGCTGATTTTAAAGTCATCGGTACTCAGTTGATTGCCTGGTGAACAGTAACAGCAAGGTTTTTTGTCATATAAATGATACAGATTATGCTTGTTATCATTTAATAAATCTTGCAAGGACTTGCTTTTATTGGAAAGGCAACTTGGCCAATAAATGATATCAGGAAAAATATTTAAGAAAGCATTTAAAAACGACAAGTCGAACTTCGTTAATTCAATTCCCGGAACGGCAGTTGAGCAGCAAAAACTGAGATTTTTTTGTTGATGTATTGTTGATCTGTTATACACAATTTCCATTTGAGGTCTAGTGAGAATAGGTCTATTTCTAAAAAGTGGACTTTTGTTGTCACATTTAAAATGGCATTCTTTTGAAAAATAGTGGTAATTCTTATGTTGATGTTTGTTGAATATATCTTCTAACGAGTTTGAAATATTGGCATCAACCACTGTTCGCACAGCATCCTGCACCTCATCTAATACAGCAAATCCGGTTCTTGTTAAGTTATCTTTTTCGTCTCCTTGTTGATGCATGATTTTTTTCTAAAAACTTCAAAAAGGAAAATAACAATTACAATGAACAGTTAGTGCATTAAAATGATTATTAGGGAACTAATATATCAAGAAGATACGTTCATATAGAAATATGACAGTCGGGTGATCTACAGAAGTATGAAACATTTCTTGTTTAGTTATTTTAATTTTTGAATGGTCGTCAAAGAAAAAGTTATCAACGTTGTCTTCGGAAATATATGTTTAGATTATTAACATTTGGGTGTCCCTCTGCAAACAAAAAGTGAGTGTTTTGTATCTATTAAATGATTTAACCCCATATGATAAAGTCCCAAACGAGGAACGTTGTCAGTGCTTTTAGTTGTTCATATCTTGTTACTTTGTTGTTTGACATATTTATTGCGTTATGTGTTGAATATCGATTTACAAATATTAAGACAAGGGGCGACATAGTGCTCGACATATCGTATGGATATTTGCCCATTTATTAGATCGTATGTTGTCTATTTTTTCAGGAGGTGCTTACATTTTGTTGATTGCTACGCTATTGGTCCGACAACACAATCAGCGTCGTGTAGTGCATTTCTTTGGAACAATAAATGTAGATTACAAAAGAATCGCACCAATGTTTCTCAATAAGATTTTTACTGGGTAGTGTAGTTAATGACTGTATAGACAAAAATATCAAAAATATTTGACCCTAGATGTATAGCAAATGAGAACGGACATAATCTTAAAAACTTATCATTTCGGTGTGCAGTTTCAGAGGAGAAGAGTTATATAATAACTTATCTTAGCATTTTGGATTGAAAGTGAATATCCTGGACTGGTCAAATATCCTGGCTTTCAAATATTCGGTTTTGAGCGTTCCTGATGAAGGTAAATCCAGAAAAGCGCTTCGGACGCATGAAATTTATTTACGTGTTGTTTTTATTTTTTACAGCACTGAGTTGATACCTCTGCTGGAGGACTATCAGTCCCCGAGGGTATCATCAAGTCAGTAGTCAGTACTTTGGTACTGGCATGATTTATAACAAATTTTCTAAATTGCCCGCTTATAAATTTTGAAATTGTAAAAAAAATAAGGTTTCAACTCCCTCAGGCAAAGTTGGCTTTAGATGGATTTGGTTATTTTTTAGATCCTTTTTTGGTTTATAGCTCGTCAACTTTTTCGGAGCTTAAACATCCTTGGCTTTCAAATATTCGGCTTTGAGCGTTCCTGATGAAGGTAAATCCAGAAAAGCGCTTCGGACGTATCATATTTATATAGTGTTGTTTTCATTTTTTAATGTCATCAGGATGCATATCTTTTCGTTTGGTAAAACTAGATTGCGTATACAGTTTATAGAAGCGTGAAAGAATTGTGTAGATACGTGTATGTTGACTAGTTGAAATAACCCGGAAGTAGTAGATTAATATGTGTATGATATTTATTTCAAAGTAATATTTTTATTTTAATGTAGACTTTTAAAAATTTGAAGTGAAATGTGCATAATACACATTTACATTTTACAAATAATGCAGTCGATTGGAAACCGGTTTAATATATATTTCTATTACAAAACTTTTCAAACCCCCATATACATACGCAAACAAAAAACTTAAATATCTATATACATGTATTTGTTATGATACATGTGTATTACTGATTTTTCCAAATTACGTAAGTTTACCTGATTGGCAAAACACTACTTTCATTTAATACAGTGTGTGAATAATTTAAAATTTTAAAAATAGTTTTTAAATGTCTTACCTGTGGTTATGGATTTAGCACAATGGTTGTGTCCCAAACATGATGTTTACCGGAAATGACTCTCTCATGTGACTACGAAATCTACATTTGACTTTCTTAAACGTTACTAAGTAGCATAAAACTAAATAAATAAAATATTCCATTACAGTACAACTAAACGAAATAATGGTGTATAGCAACATTTGAACTGAAAAGTTCATTTAGCGATTATTCTTCACTTTATTCGTAATTTTTACACATTTCTAAACTTGATTTCAAAAAAAAAATTTAACAAAATTTTGAAACAAATTATTAATATTGACAAAATATTACAACACTTTATAAATTCTGTGCGTCCGAGGCGCTTTTCTGGATTTACCTTCACCACGAACACTCAAATCTAAACATTTCAAATCCAAGGGTGTATAAAAAAACGTAGAAACGCTATGAGCTATATGACGAAAAGGACCAAAAATAAACTCATCATAGATACCGACTTAAAATTTTGTACGCAAGGCGCGCGTTTTGTTTACAAAGGACTCACCAACTATGCTCGAGTCAAAAAAGTTATAAAGGCCAAATAAAGTACGAAGTTGAAGAGCATTAAGGGCCGAAAATTCCGAAAGGTTCTGCCAAATACAGCTAAGATTATCTCTATACCAGACATCAACTAAATCAATCAGAAGTGAAATATGTCAGTTCTAGTTTAACAAATTGAGAGAAATATTCTCAAAATGTAACTAAATCAAAGCCTAACTAAAACGAAGTAAATGATCCGAATTTTCCAGAAGATCAACCAACTCCAATAGAAGTATGTAGAAGAGATAATGAACTGATCACATTTGAAGCAAGGAGTTATTAGTTGCATCCAAGACATAATCAGACGGTATATGTTCCCCTAGTCAAGGATAAATGGAAATTTTTCCGTTAACTTATTGACCTTCATTTTTTGCGTTATCGTTGTCAGCAAAAATGAATAAGCACCAACATAGTATAGCATTTGCAGGTTAAACAAAGGCTGGACATACCAAGGGGACGTTCAAATCTTATAAGTCGAAGGTCGAAATCGTCATATAAACTTTGCCTGAGGGAATTGAAACCTTAGTTTAAAAAAAAAATATCAACGGGGTATTTTAGAATAGAAGTTATAAATCATGTCAGTACCGAATCACTGACTACTAAGCTGAAAATACCTGGGAAGTAATAGTCCAACACAACGTTATCGACAAAGTGTTAGTAAGTGAACAATACAATATAGTTACACTTTATAAATTTCGTGAGTTCAAAGTGCTTTTCTGTGTCTACCGTCATCAGCAACTCTCAAACCTAAATATATAAACATATGCAATCCAGGGATTTTGAAAACGTAGAAACGTACCTTATGAGTTATTATCAAAGTGACCTAAAGAGAAAAGCCAAAATTATCTAATGTCAACTTTGCCGGAGGGAATTGGAACCCTAGTTCCTTGACCAACTATCGTAATTTATGAACGGGGTATTTTAGAATAGTAGGTTATCAATGATGTCAGTACCGAATCAATGACTACTGGGCTGAAGATACCTGGAAACTAATAGAACAACAGCACTGGTATCGACCCATTGCTTGTAAATGAAAATAACAAATTTGCAACAAACTTACGGTGGTACATAACACTACAAGGAGATAACTCTGTAAAAATCAGCTGAACGTTTTAATCACGTTCTATTGTTAAGGAAATATTAAGCTTCTCAATGAACAAAATTAGTGTTTGTAAAACTGCTATATATCCAATGAAATTTTTCCGTTAAAGTGTGTGGTTCAAGTTTTTTGAAATTTTTATATTTTTGTCAGAGTGTCAAAGTAAATATTTTTTCAAAATTTTATGAAAATTAAACGAGCCAAATTAATTTTCGTCGCTTTTTTGTTTTTTTATTTTTGCCATGGCGTTGTCAGTTTTTCTTCAACTATGAGTTTTTAATGTCCTATTGATATCTTCCGCATATGTTTAACCTGCAAATGGTACACTATGTTGGTGTTTAATCATTCTTGTTGACAACGATAACACAACCATGTAGATCTTAGTTTACAGAAAAATTCAATACATAGTACATAATAAAACTCCAATGTTTATCAAAAGAAATCAATGTGCATTTATACTGATTTCCGCGTTTTAGGTGAAACCTCTTCATATGATAATTATCGAACCAATTTACGCTTGACCGTAAAAGTAAGGATTAACATGGTATATGTACAAACATCGGACGAATTTACGATTGACTCTTATGGTAAGGATTCATTTAGTACAAATACAAATGGAAGTTGCGAGTAAAACCAGGATGTAAACGGATATCTTAGACTTGAAAGACAATGATTATTATTTCCAAGTTTATATACATCTCACGGTTCCCATACACGTACCAAGAAGTAGTTAAAATGTACATTGTGGATAAATTTCAAAAGTGGATAAGGTCAAACGCCAATGCTATGTCCATGCGGAATTAAAAAGTATTGGTCATCGAAAGAATGTTTATACAATTTGAAAGACGAACATTTCATTTTTCTTATTCTAATAAAATTGACCAGATATTAAGTAGCATGATAACAAGTGTGTGGTTGGGCGGGATGTATAAATTCGCAGACATGCCGGTCACAATGCAGACGTCGAGTACGATGCATCGTGGCACTCTCTCTACACGTTAGCAACACTTTCAAAAACTTTTTGATGGGTCCGTAGGTGACCTTTAGCAGAGCTGAACTTCTGCCCTTATCCAAAATACCTTAATTTTTCAGTAGCATTCCAAACCTCCCGCCTATCATCCCGGTCAGTTGTATGTTTTGTTAATGTTGTTCTCGTCCGGAACATGAAATAATTGCCACTAAATAGAAATTCTTTCAACCAGATAAAACCAGATAAATCGTCAGTTAATTTGATAAGATTAAGACAGAGAATTATGCAATAGGAAAAATTGATTACATCTAAACACGTGTCTCAATCGTATAAAGAAATAGCATATTAAGGTAGAGTACATAAAGAACACAATCTTGATTTCATATAAGTATCTACTCTTTCTCATAGATGTGTCTAAAGATGAAAGCAACCTATATTGATTAGTGCGAATGAATATAAATGGTACAAAGCACGCAGAAGCGTCAATATAAAGAGAAGATAGACACAAGATGTTAACCGGTAGTGAGTGTCCTTACAGAAGTTGCATTTGTAATTACCTGTATTGTAGTAAGTATTTTATGTAAATCACTACTTATTTTCATTCTGATCTTTATTTGTTTGGTACTGGAACATTTTGGACCGGGTCGGACTAAGTCCGGTGGGTGGGCTTGCGTCAAGCGAGGAAAAGTGGGTACCTAGTTTGTGTTATCAACTCATCCTATAGTTTTGAACCCAGATCCCTGAAACTTCACAGGAAGATTGCACTTATATTGACGTTGTGACCTGCTATTGTAAAAATTCGTTGACGAATTTGTTCTCAGTTGTTTTCATTATCAGCAAAATTTATGAAAGAGCGTACATGTTTTGTGCAATCAACTTTTCCTGCAGTTTTCAACCTAGATACCTGAAATTTCACAGGATGATTGCACATATTTTGCAGATGTGCACCTGCATTTATGGAATTGTTCCCATTTTTCCAGACTTTAGAACGTAGTCATTATTTAACAAATATCACAATCCGGCCATTTGAGACTTTTATCCATTTTGTGTGTGTGTATTAATTCAACTAATGAACACTATCCATGATACGCCTTTTTAAGCACCTGAACTTGTCATGAAATAGAAGTACCTTCATAATATAAGTTCCATATGGAAAAAATATTCTTTAATATTATTTCCACTGAAACAAATATTTCAGTATTTGTTCCTCACGAAAAAAAAAAGGTATAGAATATTTGTTCCAACTGGGACAAATATTATGGCATTGTTTATAACAAAGGTTCCAGGGGACAAATATACGTTGACAAACTGAGTCTCATTGGCAATCATACCACATCTTTTTTTATATATATTGAGTGCATACTATCGAATACTTTAAGTATATATTCCCATGTTTATATAGTTATTCATCCAATCTTGTTACATCTTTCCATTGCTGTACGTGTAGACGGAGGCTATGTGGAAACTCGGCTGACTCATCACACTGATGACGTAATGTTGATTTGACGAGTGAAAAAGTCCGAGTTTTCACAGCAACAAATCTGTCTACACCTACGGGGATGATCCATAAATTACAGAAAAAAAAATAACAAAATGTCTACTTTTTTATATAAATATGTGTATGTAACAAATTTTCAAATAAGAAAAAAATATTGTCCGTTTCTGCTTGTTTTAACTCTAATGTTCGTTTTTAATACCCTGACCTTTAGTAATTGGCTTATTACAATTATAATTGCAATGCTTAACTTTCATATAGATAAAACGAATCAATTCATACTATAGCTTTATCAAACCCCTTATCTGTATTACGTCATCATCTACTTCAGGCTTGAGGTAGAAAGGCGTCACAGAAAAAAAAAAGTCATTTAAGACGTGCGTCATAATTATTTGGACTACTACTTGAGGTACATAATAACATAAAATGTTCATGATATGGCTTTTTTTCTGTATATCACACGCCTTATCAACGCTAACCCTCGATCGTGTCTCAGTTTGATACTGATACGGATGTGATCATAAATAGTATTGAAAATATCATATGCTGTTCTCTATATATATATAACAACTATCTCTAAAATGAGAAATAGTAAAGCTGCAATATGTTAGTATGCGGCCAATTTCAGGTCTGTATTTGAATCACTCAAAAGGTCAAAATATAGGTCGTCAAATCCTTTGGAAAAACTAGAGAGTTTATATCATATACTTGCGATAATGTTGCACAATTTTACGCATTTCCATATCTAATAATTGCATTTTGCTCTTGGGGGCATTTCGATACAAAGCCAGTGGGAAATCTAGTGACAAAATATTACCTCCCTAGGCCTGTAAACACTGAAAACTAGATCTTCTCAATGTTTGTCCCATTTTAGCAAGGACGCTATCAATTATGGATTCACGGAAAAACGTTCTGGTAAATAGTAAAAATTGAAATAAATTGAAATA